CCCCTTTGCTGCCTGTTTCCTTCCCCTACCCCCCCATCCTCCTCCTCCATGCTGACTCCCCCTGTTTTGTTCCCTCCGTCCTTCCTGCCCTTGAACCCAGCCCTGTCCCTGCCCTGGACGTGTGGGGTCTCTGGGTGTGGAGGGGTCTGAGGGTGGAGCTGGGATGCTGGGTTGTCTCCCCAGTTCTGCTCACCATCCCCTGCCACCCCCTTTTGCCCCCAGGTGTGGGCAAGAGCAGCCTCCTTCTCCGCTTCGCCGACAACACCTTCTCCAGTGAGTGGCCCCAGCCCCTTCCCCACCAGGGGGGAGATCTGGGGGCCATGGGTGGGGACTTGGGGGCTTGTGGGTGGAGCTGAGGGCAATGGGTGGGGCCAAGGGGCAGGGTCTGGGAGAAGTGGGATGCTGGGTAGGGCTAGGGCAGTGGGAGGGGCCACTAGGATTGTGGGGGTGGAGCCTGTGGCTCAGGGGGTGGTGTAAATCATTGTGGGTGGGACTTGTAGGCCAGGGGGTGGTTGTGAATGGGGTCTCAGAGGTTGGCTTCATGAGCCTCTCCCCGCCCCCAGGCAGCTTTGTGACCACCATCGGGGTGGATTTCCGTGTCCGGACTGTGGTGCTTGGGGGGCTGCGGCTGCGGCTCCAGGTCTGGGACACGGCGGGACAGGAGCGGTTCCGCACCATCACCTCCACGTGAGCGCGGGTGGGCGGGCCTGGACACCTGGGCTCTGTGCAGGGGGTGGGTCTGCAGGAGTGGGGGAAGCCCGAGCGCCTGGGTTCTCTGCGGGGCGACTGGGGTCTGGAGGGTTACAGCAGGTGGGCAGGGGGTGGGGGGAAGGCGGGGGTGTGAGGAGCCTGGACACCTGGGTGCCACCCTCTCCCCGCAGGTACTACCGCAACGCACACGGGGTGATCGTGGTCTATGACGTGACCAACCCCGACTCCTTCATCAGCGTCAAGCGCTGGATGCATGAGATCGCGGAGAACTGCGACAGCGTCTGCAAGGTGCTGGGTGAGTCCCTGCCCCTGGTGGGGCCCTCTGGACTTAACCCCTGGGGTGCCAGCCCTCATTGCCCTGGCTCACCCTCTCCCCCTCGCTCCTCCCCCCCCCACCCAGTGGGTAACAAGGTTGAGGACCCCTCACGCCGCCAGGTGCCCGCGGCCGATGCCCGACGCTTCAGCGCCCAGCTGGGGCTGCGGCACTTCGAAACCAGCGCCAAGGACAACATCAATGTGGAGGAGGTGTGGGGCATTACAGGGGGAGAGTGTGGCACTGGGGTTGGGGGTGCTGCCCGGGGGGCACGACTTTGCAGCAATGCCTAGGAAGTCCCCACCTCAGGGCACTGCTGGGGGGAAGCTTGCAGGTCCACGTGGGATGTGGCGGCATCCTGTTCTAGGCATTGCCGGGGAGGAAGCTACTACCTTCTCTCCCCTTCCTTCCTAGATGTTTGCAGCAGTGGCTGGGCAAGTGCTGAAGGCCAAGATGGCTGCCCAGGCCATTCGGGAGGGCCGGGGCCCTGGGGTCGTCTGTGTTGGGACCTCCAAGAAGAAGCTGGGACACCCCAGGAAGTGCTGCTGAGATGGAGGCCCCAAGTGCCTGGGTTCTCTGGGGGCTGAGAGCAGGGGGAGCTGGGAATCTGGGTGCCCTTCTCTTCTCCCTGCCTCAGCTTTTCCCACCCCCAGGGACCCCCTGAGACATTTGTTCTCGGTTTAATAAAGATGATTTTAGTGTGGAAAAGGTCTGTGGGGTGCCCAGACACCTGGGTTCTCTGGCAGGGGATTGTGGGTTAGAGCAGGATGGGGTTGGGAGCCCAGATGCCTGGGTTTTCTTCCTTGCAAACACTTCCTGCTTAATTTTCCCCTACCCTGTTCCTCTCCATGAAGCAAAGCAGTCCCCTCTCCCACCAGTTAAGCCCAATGACCTCTGTTTTGGGTTAGTGCCTGTTTGGCCCTGGGCTTCCTTCTGCTACAGCCTGGGGCCACTGCTTACACCCCTCTGCCCCCCCTTGAGATATCTGGTTGTTTGAGATCTGCTCCCCTAAGCTATTACCAATAAAAATGTGTAATTCAGCTCAAATATCTAATGCCCAGTTGGGAGCAAAACAATCCATGTGAAAATCCAGCTACATTTTTTCAACTTGCTGCTGTGCTGAGCAGCTCTCTTCCTCCAACCTCTGCTCTGGCGGCATGGCTGTAGGGAAGCTCACAGCTCCATGATAGCCAGGGGGACCCTTTCTTCCATCTGGACATGATTAGAGTGGGATGCCCTGTTCCTGGGGGGCTGCTGAGCAGCAGCTTAGAGCAGGGTCCTGAGAAAAGGGAGGTAATACCTTTATTTTGGATTTTAACCCTGTGCTGCCTGCAGCTAGGGGTAGTACTTGCAGGGGCAGGCACTACTCAGGCAGGTGGGGGTCTAGGCAGGTGCTAAGAGTACACTTCAGGGCAGGCAACAGCATGAGGGTGGGGACATCAGCCAGGATGATCTCCCAATCCAGTACTGCCTCCTCCCTGTCTGTGTCCACTGGGATCTCTCTGCCCTGTCCATAGGGAAGAGTGATGTGACTGAGTCGGGTATAGTGTGGTGGTTGAGTAGAAAGCAGGAAGCGTTATTTCCCTTATCCTTCTCCCCCAGCCCAGGGAGGGGAGGGATGTGGCTGAGTCTGGGCTAGAGTGCAGCAGCTACTGCTCATCCCTGCCCCTTTCACTTCATCCCTGGGAGAAAGACGTTCTGAAATGTAGCTGTGAGGGGTACAGCATAGCAGCTGGGTCATGGATGAATTAGTGGGTGTCAACAGGTCCATTACCCAGGCAAAACAGAATCCAGACAAGGCAGAGGTGATGGGGGTGGGCAGGTCATGTGACCTGGGGGGTTGGGACATTGCCATCCGTGGGGTTCAGCTCCCCAGGTCACTCAGGTTAGCAGCCCGGGGCTGCCTCTGGGCCCTCTGCTGCCCCTAGGAGTGCCTTTCACCAGCTCTGTCTGGAGAGGAGACTGTGCCCTTTTGTCTTAGACTTGTATCTGGCCTCCATCATCTGCAGCCCCATGACCTTGGGGTGGACTCATGCAGCCACTGTGCATGGGGCTACCAATGAAGATCATTGGCAGGGTGCAGCTGGTGCAGAGCTTGCTAGACTGCTTTCTGATGGGCTGGGTGCCAGGAGCACATCACTCCAGTGCTCCAAGGTTTGCACTGGCTCCTAGGGGCTTTCCAGGTACAGTACGAGCCCTCATGTGGCTAAGGGACCCCTTCACCCTCACACACCATCATGACCCCTGAGGTCAGCTGAGAATAACCTCCTATGGGTACATACCCTCAGTGCACCAAGTTTGCTTGGCGAGGATGTGTGTGTTGTGCTCAGCCATCACCCGTCACCTCTGGAACTCCCTTTCCCATCAGGCCACCAGAGCCCAAGTACCAAAAGTCCTTTGTACTTGGACAGGTGCTTAGCAAGTCAGGCCAGGCTGAGACAGTTCAGAGGGGTTGGCTATATCCTTCATTTTAATGCTCTATTAGCTTTCATAAGTAATTTGATATGTTCTGGTTTTGGTTTGTTCACATTTGCTTATTTGGCTCTATTCTGTAAGTCATCCTGAACTACCCTTGGGAATGGTGGCAAATAAAGCTAACAAATAAAAAAAAGAGATAAGTTTCATAGATTCATAGATGTTAGGGTTGAAGGAGACCTCAATAGAGCATTGAGTCCAACCCCCTGCATAGGCAGGAAAGAGCGCTGGGTTTAGATGACCCCAGCTAGATGCATATCCAACCTCCTCTTGAAGACCCCCAGGGTAGGGGAGAGCACCACCTCCCTTGGGAGCCTGTTCCAGACCTTGGCCACTCGAACTGTGAAGAAGTTCTTCCTAATGTCCAGTCTAAATCTGCTCTCTGCTAGCTTGTGGCCATTATTTCTTGTAACCCCCGGAGGCACCTTGGTGAATAAATCCTCACCAATTCCCTTCTGTTCCCCCGTGATGAACTTATAGGCAGCCACAAGGTTGCCTCTCAACCTTCTTTTGCGGAGGCTGAAAAGGTCCAGGTTCTCTAGTCTCTCCTCGTAGGGCTTGGTCTGCAAGCCTTTAACCATACGAGTGGCCCTTCTCTGGACCCTCTCCAGGTTATCC